GCGCATTGATCTTGCTGTTTTTGCTCCATGCGTCCACGTTTGTACGACGTCTCGCCTTTGATTGAGCTCTGGCTTATGGTAAAAAAGAATAAACGCGCACGCTCATAGAAGCATAGATGTGCACACAGCGAGTATACGCGTTCAATTGCAGACCCTATCGTTTCGTAGAAACACGCTTCGTGGAGAACATATTCATCGACACGTGTTTCGTCGGCACTGGGGCATTTCGTGGGCACATTCGGCTGTGACGCTTCGTGAACAGCATTGAAATTTTATTTTAACGAGTATCTAATCAAGTCGGGAAGCCTCTAAAGTTTAGCGCATGATTAACTAAGTCGTGTTTACCCAACCCTCGCCTCCCCCCCCCCCCCCCCCCCCCACCCCCCCCCCCCCCCTCCCCCTTCGATTAAAGCAGTAAAACAACAGTGTTGTGTTTGACGAAACGTTGGGAGGAGTGTCGACGAAACGGACGCAAGAGGCCCTTCGATTAAAGCATTTTTCATTATATAGATAATGAGAACAACACAAAACACGAGGACGGACATGCGTTTTATGTTCTTCTCATTGTTTATATTATACTTACCAGCACGTGTACATCTGTCGATAAAACGTCGTTTTACGAATTGGAGGCAGCCGGATCGATTTCATATAATCGTGTGAATTAACATACGTTCACACGAGTAAAAACTCGCGCAAGAAATGACGTGTCACGCTTCCGCATAAATTCAGGCGTGCATTCCACAAAAAAAACACGCGTACGCCAATGCAAACACACGCGCTCGAGCGAAATAAACGCGTACTACAGCCGATAAGAGATCACCTACACGAAACGTATTTAGACACGCCAACTCACGCACGACGCTGCACGCATTAGCGCGCATACACGAACAAACCCATCATTTCTGGTAGTTTTCGCGGCAGCACTTGGGTCACTTTTGTTTCCCCATCTTTGTCTCCAAACCCCAAAGCAACAACAAGAAAAAAAAAAATTAAAAAAAAACGCGTACTAAAAGAAAAGGAACAGAAAGTGCAATCGTCAAGTGGAGTACATTTAGGAAGGAAGCGCTTCCTCTGTTTACACCACTGAGTGCAGCTCTTACTCTTTTTTTTCATGTTTCCCTCTTCTTTTTTTTTTTCTCTCATTTTGCCGGGATGCTTTCAGCTACCAACGCTCCTCTCCAGGTCATCGTGTTTGTTCTGGAACCACTCGCGAACACTGGCATATATTCTTGTCCTGTTTTTGTAGCGTATAACATTTATATTTTCGTTCTTTCTTTTTTACGCTCTTGTATTTCTTTTCCGTCCGCCATACTTTTGCCTCGATGAAAGGAGGGAAGCCCCTCACGCTAGCTGGTCGGCAGCTTATTATTATCGGTTCAAACAAGAGGTTGTTGGTAGTGTTGTACCAGTCGGATGGCGTTGTTGTTGTTGTTGTTCGTTGCACTTGCTCTCGTGCTCTCGTCCTTGTTTTTGATTCCATCAAGAAACAAAAACGTTGCAGAATGGTCATTTCCTAGAGTAATGCTACGCTAGCTTGTATTTTAGCCTTTGCTGTTACTTTCGCAGACATCGAGATAAAAGGAAGAAGAGTGGAAGTATAAATGCATGGAGGGGGGAGTTTATCTTCTGGCGTTCCTTCTTACGTTGTTATTATGTCGTTTCCAGCACTCTTTTGGGGTCTTGGACGTCTCGTTTGTTTAGAGAGAAAGCAAGCGAGCTAAATGATTCCTGAGTGTGTTCGGTAGCGTCCGCATTTTTATGCGTTTATGTGCGCCAAGGAGTTGTGTTTCTTAGCTCGAATGTGAACGATCAGAATCCACATATTTCACGAAAACCCAGAGTGGATTCTCCGAGAGACCAAGGGTCTTTGGGGATCCTTGTTCGCTTAGTGTCTGCGAAATCTAATTGAGCTCCCGTCTTATGTCTGTTTGAAGTAGTAAGTGGAGATTGATCTCTGTCTGAACAGATGGAATACGCAAACACGCAAGTTTCACTTTGGTGACTGGAATACGTTTTCCTCCTACTGGTGTTTTTGAGCGTATTCTTTTATGTCGCCCATTGATTTCCCCTTGAAAACCTGGAAGAAGTATAACGCTTCTGCCTGCCACGATTCTGGTGGGTTGCGCACCACCATAGGTGTGTTTGGCAGTCGCATCTTCTGCTCCAGGTCTCCCTCCAGTTTGACAGATCACGGGAGCTTCGGCAGCAAGGGTTGGGACTCCACGACCACAGCGAAACTCCGGTTTGATCGTCCTTTCCGCCAGCATTTCTACGACCAACCGCGAGGATCGCGACGTCCGATGGCCCGCTCTCGTGACGTCAAGTGTTGCCCCTTCGGTAAAACGTTTGATGCGCAGGCGCTAGAGGGCGCTGAACACGCCAATGGTATAGACGCGTTCAGCCGGCGTTGATTTACGCTGTGGATTATGGAGTAGGTATTTGTGCTACTCTCCGAACAAATGCTCTTGTGTCTACTTTCCTGATGTGCACTTAGAGAACCAGTCACCCCTATCTACAGTCACAACAAGAGTTGTTTTAAACAAACAAACAAAAACGGCAGTATAGGATGAGGCGCTATGAGGCCTCACTCACTGCAACGACGCGAGCGTAAGGAATGATACGTTTAGGGCCACTTTGCATGTGTCAGTTTTCAATGAAAACTTCTTATGTTTGTATTCTGAAGTTCATTTTTAGATATCTGTGGTCGGCTTTTAAGGGCTCTGTGGGGAAATGCGAAATTCGTTTTAGAATGTAAACTGATCAACGTTGTTTAAAGAAGCAAGCTATAGCGAATTGCAGGTAGCTTGCAGTAACTTTTTTTTTCACATAAGTTGAGTGGTCATATACTAGTAAAATATCACTCTCTTCTACTAATGAAGTTTTCTTTTTATTTTCTTACGGGAGAGGGAAATGCGTTAGTTGAGGGCGGAGGGTATTCGGAAAGTCTCGTGGGAGTTCTAGCCCTCCTCAATAAACTAGTGTCACTGCGGCCGATGCCGTCCCTGTTGTGGAGCGACTCGATTGTTGGAGTTGCACAGTCTACTATACTTAAAAAAGAAGATTATGTAGCCAGAAATGTATAATAATATCCTTCTGACATCCGCGGACCTCACCGAGAACACTGAAGTGAGTGAACCCATACAACCGAAAAAAACATCTAATAACACTCACACTACTGCGTTGATCGGTTACATCCGTTTGTTCCACTCGCGACAGATATATGAAAATAGTTCGTTTCACTTGTTTAAGGTGTCCTGCCAACGAACAGCTTCGGATCGTAACTGGAACAGGCACTCTGTCCTCATTGCAACCTAGTAGAATTATTCCGACTCGGCTACACTCACCCACACCATAGCACAGTAAAGGGACATGTTAGCTGCAGCGGAACTCAATAGCACAATAACTTTCTATACAGCAATCAGTTTTCTTTATGGTAAATATTTATATTACTGCACAAGCTTAAAGCTACAAAAAGAAAAATGGATAGAACCTGCGATTTCACAGCCCACCGTACCCGTATTGTAATCCGGGTTCGAATGTATTGTTTCGTTGAATTCCAATGGCTGTGAACTGAGGCGTCTATTTTAAAAGAATGAAATATATAACATACAGAGTGCAGTTCACCCAGAGACAGGCATTCGTCGTGGTGATCCATGCTTTTTAAGCGTCTGCCTAGAGCAGACGACGCGTCCACACAAGCGATTATTTAAATTTAGGTCGTATACTGGTAACTCGATTTGATCTTCACTGAAGCACCGATACGTACCGCACCATTTCCCGGTAAAATTGTTTTCCCACCGATGCTGTGCGGAAAAATAAGTCTCGCGACGAACGTGTAGAGCCTATAGGGCGGCCATGCCTTTATCCTCGCTTTGATGATGATGATAGCGCGACAGTAGCGCCACATTTAGGTCGACCTCGAGGCCAATAGTGTTGGCGTATAGACGCTTGGAAGTACGACCTCTCGCAGGAACCACCTCACTGCTGGCGCGTGAAGAGTGTACGATAGAGAAGGTATGCTAAGCTCACGCGCATTTTTTCAAAGCATTTTTTCATCTACACTCTAAAGAAAAAAGTACGGGAGTTCATTTGCCTACAGAACACGGAAACGGATGATTACGCCGAGCAGTAGATACATCCCAGGAAGTAAACAAGCTGGGAATGCGATCAGACAAGGAAAATGCATCGTACTCGGAGAAAGGTTCCGGTCTGCCTTATGGTGCCTGGAGTACCCGTCTCCTACCGGTCTGCTTACCGCGTCTAAAAGACTGGTCCCTCGATGTTCGTCCGATGACTTCATAGAAGTGTCAAGCTGTCGCCGGCCGCGAACCTGGCGGCGTCACAACAGCGGTGGTGTAAGTGGCACACGTCAGGCTGCTCTCCAGCCTGACAGTTCGTGGAAACTTCGACAGCCAGGAGTTTGAGGCGCCGCGACGACAGCGACACTCACGTTCACTCGTGCTTTTCGCCAGCATTTCTACCACCAACTGCCAGGATCGCGACGTCCGACAGCATGACATCCCGGGGTTTTTTTGTTTCTTTTTTTTGTGCCGTTAAGACGACACCTTGGGCCAGTTGGTTTAGGATAATGTAAAGGAGCAGAAAAATATACCAAAGGACAAATGGGTTGGACGATAAAGGGCGCCCTCTATCGTCCAACTTTTTTGTCGTCGTGTATTTTTGGCGATTTGTCGGGCGATTTTACGACATCCTTTGTTGTCAGTTCGGGACTACTTTCGAGTGCATGGGCGGAATAGGACACTAAACAGATTGCCGGAGTCGCGCTCCAGGTACCTCGGTCTCAATGTATTCCCAGTTTCGTCATTTGCTAGGATCCATCTGTTGTTCGCCGTGATTTTCTTTCTTCTTGCTTTGCACGAAAGTCAACTCACGTACTTATTAGAGTGTACGATGGCTAGACTGGCGCTTTAACTGTAGCTGCTTGCGAACGTTTATCGTCCTTGGTTGCGTGTCTTCAAATACCCTCACTGTCTTTATAGGTCATGGTCGCAGCCGTCAGCCAAGGGCTTACGGAGGTCAAGACGCTTCTTATCGAAGTCACGGTCCCCAACGAGCACCCTCCGGTCTTTGAGCGCGCCCTGTACCGCAGCGAGGTGCATCAGACCAGGACCAGGCCCGGCTACCGGGTCGTCCAGGTACGGGCCCACGACGCAGACTCGGTGCCATACAACGCCGAGGTCTACTATCGCCTGGAGCCCGGACCGGAGTCCACGCGGGCGCTACGGTACCTGGCCCTAGACGGTATCACTGGAGAGGTGATGCTCAACCGAAGCCTCGCCGACGTCTCCGAGCCCACCATCGGGTTCACGGTGATCGCCGAAGACGGTGGATCTCCCAAGAAACAGGCTCGGACCAGGGTCGAGCTACAAGTGAAAACCATCTCCGGTAAGTTCGTGTTTTGTTTTATTGTTCTTCTTTTTTTTTGCACGTTTTAGACTAGCAACAAGTATTTTAGGTAAGGCTTGTATTATGACTATACTCCGGGCGGCTTTTTTTTTTTTTTTTTTTGCATTTCAGAAGAGAGGAGGAGAGAGCGCACAGTTTGATTCGGCGCTCGGTCTGGGAAAGGGCACTTGTGCCTATATCTTTGACTGCGTTGCCACAAAAAGTTGCCCCGCGTTTGCTATTTTCGGTTTTTATGGGATCTTTTTGAATCGGCGTAGTTTCTTTGTGTTTATCCACGATGAATACTTTTTTTAGCCTGTTAGACATATAAAATATTAACAGTTATTTTTTTGTGATAAGAGGGGCTTCTCTATTCAACCAGAAAATATTTAGGATCTATGTACCGTATACTTTCTAGGCTATAGTCGGTTAAAAGTTGAAATTTCAGGCTGTGCGGACTATCTACGCGTCTGGACTATACAGAATTTTTTGTGTTTTCAATATCATTGACTATGATGGGACGCGACGGATTTTGTGAATGAAAGAGTATGTTAATAATGATTTATGCATATTAGAGGATTCTCTGTGAGCTAAGAAAGCAGTCATTTTCAAGGTGTTCCGTCTATGAGAAGATTTTCGTTTTGTCCAAACACCAGGTATGCTGACTATGCACCGGGTACAGACTATCTAAGCGAAAACTCTTATTTTTGACCCCATATTTGCCCCTGCGTTCTATACAGCGGGTGCAGACTATAAAACGGAAACTAAGGTAGTTCTGATAGCTTAATGCATTGAGTTCAAAGAATGTTCTTGCTTTGCGAGGCTTAAAAAGCCCGATGAGCAAAGATAACAAAACTTCAACCACCAAGAGGCTGTTGTTGAGCCTTCGCCTAGCATAACAGATGAAAGGAAAGGGGGGGGGGGGGGGGGGGGCCTGCAATCTCAAAGATATCTGACAATTAGATCGGGAAGTGCGTCACAAGGTCACAAAATGATGACCTATCCCCAATACCCTATAATTTGTACCATACCAATCTAAGATATTGACATCATTCGTTTCAAGCCAAATTAAAAAAAAAGAACGTGAACTGACTACCAATATTGGTTTCAACAAAAAATACCAACCCCTAATTATAAAATATATCAAAACACCTGACCGTCAGTGACTCCGTTGACACGCCCATATATTTCCGGTACTCCCAACTCTTGAAGGAACCAGCCAAACACTTAGGATTCTTGTTTATTCAAACGGTAATCTGAGTAAATATACAGATTTAATGGAACTGATTTCAATTATTTCTTGTAACTTTGAGCAAATGTAATGAAGTATCATACACAAAAAATATGTTGGACCCAATATGGACACCGAATCACCCACGGCACGAAACATCTAGGCAGCACGGATTCCTAGTAAGCCAGTATCGTTACTCTTCCAAAAGTAAACCCGTCTACCTTCAGCCAATCTGCCGTTAATTTCATCCCATTCTTCCGGGCGGGAACTGCGGACGTGTTCGGTCCCTAACGAGGACGCCATCACGTCCGACGCGTTCTCCCTCTCTACAGGGAGAAGAGGAAGGCGCTGTTGTGTGGTTGGGAAAGTGAGCATCAGACGTTAGGGATTCTTCCAGGAGGGGAAGAGATAGGCCTGGACGGAGGGGGGAACGTGGCAAGGAACGGGTCGTAAGTGTTTGTCACCCCAATCGTAATTAGTGACCGCTGTCGCGCACATTCTCGCGCTTTCTCCCTTCTTCGCCCTTCCTGCCTATTCCCGATTCTTTCCCCAATCCCTTTCCTGCATCGGAGGGTTTACCGCGGGCGCATTGTCCTGCGTCGTAAAATTGCGGGAAGTGGGTTCTTCTTTTTTTTCGTGTCTTTCGCTGAGTCGGTCGCTGATTCGGCGCTTTCTGCCTGGGAGAGCCGATGGTCTGGGTCGTGCTGAGTTGGTCGGTTGCCAGTTTGGGGCTGTCCGCGCGAGTACGGTTTGGGGAAAGGGTGCTTAGGGAGTTCGGTTTTGGGGATGAAGTGCCGCCGATCGAGTCTTTCTTATTAGACAGGTTCCGGTGGTTCTGCTGCGAAAGGATGGACGCATCGTGCTGAGTTGGTCGGTTGCCAGTTTGACTCTGTCTTCGCGAGTATGGTTTGGGAAAGAGGCGCTTAGGGACTTCGGTTCTGCGGATGAAGTGCCGCAGCTTGAGTCTTCTATATTAGACAGGTGCCGGTGTTCCTGCAACGTATGAACGCATCGTGCTGAATTGGTCGGTTGCCTCTTGAAGCTGCCTTCGTGAGTATGGTAGAGAAGGGATGCATACGGAGTTTGCTTTAGTGATGAAGTTCCTCGAACGCGGTGTTGCTGGGACAGGACAGATTTGTCTCGTTGAATTTGCCGGTTTCAAGTTGGATTTGCCGTCGAGAGTTTACTTTGGAGAAGAGTTATTTCAACAAATGCCGCAGATTCAGTCTAGCTGTCTGAGATGGGTAACAGTGTCGCTGTAACACGATGGCCAAGTCGTGCTTAGTTGGTCCGTTGCCAGTTGGGGCTGGGCTGTCTTCCTGCGTCTGGTTTAGGAAGAGCTGTGAAAATGTTTTAAAACCTTTGTGGTAGAAGAAAACCCTATGAAGAATTCCAATTCTACAATCACTCAGACATTTGTAATATAGGAAAGTCGAAATCGCTCTTAGAACTACTTGAAGCCAATCTTTGGGAACGATGGTCCTCCTAATGTCATCCTAAGTGCTGCTTGTATCACTATTTGTTTTCTTTTCAACCCTTAAGTGTTTGAATTTTAGTGACAGAGTCAAGCCTACATGTTGAGAAAAGTTAGACAAGCCCTTGACCCTTGAACCTTTATATTTAATCTAGTATATAGCCCGGATCCGTTCCGACATAGCTCACGTACAGTGTGCGGACACAAGGACTAAGCCATTAGGCACGTTTTGCAAAATTCCACTTTCAGACTGGCAAGCCCCAAATTTGGCACGTGAGCGTAGTCTCGCAAGAATTTATGTCTATTTATTTTTAACAACTCAAGTCAGAGGCGGTAAAATATGAAATATAGTGCAAAAACGGCGGCCATGCATTGCCTATGCCCTACATTGGATGTTCGCCGTCTGCACACCAGTTTTGAGCGTGCTCCCTGGTGGTCTTGGTTCATGTATTTTGTCAAAACTCTTAATTTTCGCGATAATGTTGCTCATCACCAGCTTCTGCTATTACTTTATAGTGTTTTTGGAGTCAGTAAGCTACCTGAGAGAGAGCTCATAAACTAGTGTACAGGCGAAGAACAGGCTGGTATAGGACACAAGAAATATATTCTATGTTTATATTTCACTACTTTTACATACATTTCGCTACCTCAGAATTGAGCTAAAGAAATAGACATAAAACTGCTAGGGAAACTATGCTTGTGTGCCAAATTTCAGGTAGGTAGATTTGGAATTCGAAGTTTTCAAGGTGCCAAATACGAAAGTCCTTACTGCCGCACCTTTACAAGAACTGGTTTCTTTTTTAGTGCAACGATGATTTGTTATTTGTGGGCTTAAAAATGCCAGAGGCAGGTCTGCACGCGTAGAAAAACGTAGAAGCGAGGTAACAGGCAATCAGCTGTCACCGGCATTTCATGGAGTTTTAGATGTCAAAATGACTTAGCGTACTTCACACCAAATGCACGCACATAATAGGAACGCGGAAGAAAGGACCATCAGAGCTATTTTTCAATGACAAACTTTTTGATAACTTCCTTCAGGCTGGAAAATATATTCGGAAAATCTGAGACTTCAACAAAAATCAAACTTTATGCATATAAACGCACGCAAATCGAAGGTGCCGAAATCATTAGAATACCGTTTTCAACACCAGTCGAGGGTGCGAAAATAAAGAAAGCATTAAAAAAGGAGCAACGTTTGAAAGCCTTCGAAACCTTAAGTGCGCTTTGCCCGAAAGAGATCATAGTCCTCAAACAGTGCAGGCGGCAGCCCGGCTTTGAAAACGGCACACGTGATTGATTTTCGATTTTCTTACTTCGTATAGAGCTCCGTATTCAGTCTAATGGTTTTCCACGAGCTTTATTTTCGCTGGCAACTTCCCCGCCCAGCTCTCGGGCTCGGCCTTCTCAAGCCGGATTGATGAGCCCGTGATTGATTGATGAGGACCTGCGTTATCGATTCTCAGGAGTCCCTACCGCTGGCGCACGGAGCTTTCCATACACTCAGGGTAGATTCGGTGGAGAATGGACTCTGATTCGCTAGATTTCCCGGGCTTTGTGGCGTCATTTTGTGTCGCTTTTTGCGGTGTCACTCTCTTTTTTCTCGAACCTGGTAGGTGGGCTTAGACTTCCGTTAGAAGTTTCTTTTCTCGACGACAACTGGATGGGTGAAATCGCTCTAGCGCTTTTCCCAAGCTAGAATAGCTCTGATGCATTCAAGTTTGGATGTTTTTAGATGAATGTTTGGCTATTTTCTATTCAACCGACAAAGCCTGAAAAAAATCACGCGAAAGAGTAATTTCCCGCACTGGTAAAATAAATAGCTACAGTCCGTTGGCAACTGAAGACAGTAGGGCGAGGGTAAGGAAATCCATGGAGGAGGATGCAGACGGAACGGGGCAGAGAGAAGGAGGTTTCTTCCTCTCCTGTCCAGCGTTCCGTCTGCTTGCTCCTCCCCTGTCTTCCTTTCTCTCGGCCTAAATTCCTGAGTTGCAGCGGAATATATGTCGCTATTTTTTGCACATTTGCTCTTGGTCGCGTGATGTTCGAACCTCTAGTATCTTGTATGACTTGTTGAGCTATTAAGATAGTCTGAATTCTTGTTTATTAGTCACCGCTCTAAATTTCTCGTTACTTGAGAAATTTTAATATTAGTTTCCTAAAGTTAATTTTTTTTTTTAGAGATAGGACTGTCGTTTCAGGTAAAAGTCCCTTCAAACATTGGCGAGTTTTAATTTTACGCAATTTTCACTGGGATCTTTTTTTTAAGTGTCACACAAGTACACTACCACTCGGCAC